AGGAGAATTGCAAATTCATGGCCAACCTGAGCAACATTTAGAGACGGTCTCAAAAATCAAAAATTAAAAGACTCGGAGTGTAGCTTAGTGTTAGAGCACTTGACTAGCACAAGCAAAGCATGGTAGGTTCAATTCCAAGCACTACAAAAAAAGGAAGAAAGGAGAAGGAGCGGGCAGAAGAGTGGGAAGGAGGGAGCGAGGGAGGACACTTGTGCAAGAACCTGCATGCAGTATGCAGCACGCATATAAAGTTTAAGAATGATGAACAGATGGACGTTAAAATTTCCCTTTGGGGGTAGGACGAGGATAGCACTGGGGAATATGTGGGAAATTCCAACTCTGTCATTAATATTTTCTTTTTAAGGTGGTTGCCAGGCTTGTGAGTTTCTCTTATATTTGTCATAGTATTTGGCTTTAAATAATTTTCAATATACACACATAGTAAGAATAAATAAGTGACAGTTTTTATGGTAATTATTATTCATCAGAAAGTATTCTGTTCTTGCTCGCGGGGCACATGGTCTGGATGTTAGAGGGGATGTGAAGGTGAGGAAATTCAGCCTCTCCGATCCCAGCAAAGAGGTCTGATCTTGCCACTGTTGCAGCACCTACCTCATAACTGTGATATGAGGCAGAAGGGAGAAGGAGCCCAAAGAGTAAAAACCAGGAAAAGAGACACTGGGGATCAAACTCACAACCTCACATCTGCCAGGCAGGTACTTGTGCCACTGAGTTAAATCCCCTGCCCTACACTGTAACTTTTTAGGGAGAAAATTGGCTGTTTTTGTGATACTAGGGATTGAACCTAGAGAATCATTGAGCTACATCCTCAGTTTTGTTTTGTTGTTTTGTTTTGTTTTGTTTTGTTTTGTTTTGTTTTGTTTTGTTTGAGACAGAGGTCCCACTAGATTGCCCAGTCTGGCCTTGAACCTGGGAATCAGCCTGCCTCAGCTTTCTGAGTAACTAGGATTACAACTCTCAGCTCTGAGGAGAGTTTTGTAAAATGTGCTTCCACTAACAATGATGGCATGGGCAAAGATATCACAGTTTGATGAGACCGATCACAGGCAAAGAGACAGAGAACGCAAACACAGAAGACCCCAAGGAAGAAGTGATGTAAAAGAAGTGATAAATGGTCAGCACAGTACACTTCATGTACACTGAGAAAACAACACCCAATTTCTTCCTCTCGGAGCAATTTTCCTGGAATCATACAGGAGGAGAAATCAGATTTCAGGATTTAGTAAATGACAGAAACTACCTAAATGAGCTTGCCCATGAAGGCCAGCTAATCCCTCAATCCCATCTCAAGTATAAGCTTCTACAGCTGTGCCCTTCAAGAGCAGCCACCAGACCACTTAACGGCCAAGCCAACTGGAATTTTTATTAAAATGCAGATTCCCAGGCTCTACCCTAGACCTTTGGGATGGGTCCCCAAAGCTGCAGTTGTAGCAAGCTGACCGGGTGATTACAGAAAAAATTAATAGTAGTGTAGAAGGAGATGGAGGATGCAGTTGACAAATCTTTAAAGACATTTGTGCAATACAAAGGACAACATCTGGGGGTTTAGCTCAGAGGTGTAAGCGCCTGCCCGGCACGTTTGAGGTCACATGCCTGTTTTCCCAGCAGTCTAGAGGCTGAGGCAGAAGAATTGTTGCGAGTTCAAGACCAGCCTGGACTACAAAATGAGGTCAAGGCCAGTCTGAATTTTAGAGTGAGACCCTGTCTCAAGTATATATATATAAAATACAAAGGACAGCAGAGAATGTTCTTTGAAGGCCATGGTGACATTAAAACGAATTGTTAGTCAAGGACTCTTTAGAATATTTCTTAAAAAAAGGGAAAAGGAAAACAAACTAGCGGGTGAAGGAAGCACAGATGTACAACACAGAGGGTACAAGCTTTCCCCTAAAGGTTCAAGGTTCCAGAAAAAAACAAAAGGACCCAGGTCAAAAATGTAAGTTGTGGGGCTGGGGATTTAGCTCAGCGGCATAAGCACCTTGCCTTGCAAGCAGACAGTCGTGAGTTCGATCCCTGGTACCGATAAAAACGAAAAAGACAAAAAAAAAACCAAAAAAATGTAAGTTGTACTGTCAGACCGGGGAACAAGCTAAGATCAAGCATTGCTTTTCACAATTTAACAGAGTCCCTCATGTTTAAGAAAGGACTGGAGGTGACTACACATAGATGATAAGTATTGTTTCCCCTGACACCACCTCTTCTAGGCCTTTGGGAATATAATAAAACTTGAAAACCATTCTTGTAGACAGCAAAGCATACGTTAAGAAAACAAAAAAGAGGGGTGAGGATTTAGCTCAGCAGCTCAAGTGCTTGCCTGGTAAGCACAAGGTCATGAGTTTGATCCTCAGTACCAAAAAAAAAAAAGATGCCTGACCACCAGGCATGATAGCACATGCCTGTATTCCCAGCAATCGAGAGGCTGAGGCAGGAGGATCCTTGCAAGTTCAAGACCAGGCTGGGCTACAAAATGACCTCAAGGCCAACCTGAACTGCACAATGAGACCCTGTCTCAAAAAGATGAAGATGAAGAAGAAGAAAAGAAAAAAATGTCCGCACAAAATATTTTTTAGATGTGGGGGAAAAAGACACAAAGAATGAAGCGCTCGATAAAATAACTCAGACCATCTGAATTCACCATATGGCTATTTCAAAACCAGTCTCTTTGGGAAACTAAGAGAGAAACTAAATGGAAAATCCTCAGAAGTTAAACCTACTGGCATTAATATGGCCCATCAATTCTACTCCCAGGGCTTTATCCATGGGAAACCAGATCAGGCCACACAGAAACATGTAGACACATTCACAGCAGCATTATTCAGAATGGCCAAGAAGTGAAATAACCAAAATATCCATCAGAAAATAAACAAATATATAAAATGTGATATACAACAGAATATCATTCAGCCATGAACAAGTGACATGCTGATATGTGCTACAGCATGATTTTTTGAGAATATTACACTAAGTGTAAGAAACCAGACATCAAAGGCCACATATTGTGTGATTCCATTTATACCAAATGTTCAGAATAGAAAACTCTAGAGTGCCAGAAAATAGATTAGTGGTATCACACACACACACACAATAGCATTGTTCCACCTGCCCATTAATAAGCTGCTCTTATGAAATAGGTATACTGAAATGGTGCCATATGGGCACTAACCCACATGAGGCCAGTTCACTCATATTCACATGCTCAGAAGAATAACAATGATAATTAATAATAACTAAAATTTATTGTTTATAATGTGCCAGACACTACATTCAGCACTTGACACACATTATCTCCTTTCATTTCTCACTGCAGTCCTTTGAGATATATACTATTATCATCTCCATTTTACAGGTGAGGAAATTAAAGCACAAATAAGTTTAATAATTTATGCTACTCGCCCAGTTAGGTGATGCAAACAAGGCAATCTGATTCATTATACTATGCTATGCTGCTCCAACCGGCCCTGTCGCCTTAAAATCACTTGCACAACTCACTGATTTGCATCTACTGGATATAGCCAAGATACAAGAGGGTCTAGACTGTAAAAGAGCCACAATTGTTAACTGAAATAACAATCCTGGACAGAACACTAGAAGTACCCAAGGCTCTGAGGAGGAGACCAAGAGAAAGGCTGAATGAATGTCAAGGTAACTAAAGCTTGCAAGTTGAGTCTATAACTCAAAGCATGAAGTTCTAGATTCTTACTCACCACCTTTTAAGCTAAGGGTAGATGACTTATGTTCTCCCTACCCACAGTAATCTTGAAATCTAAGTAAGCACTATCAGAAAAAAGCAGTAAAAAATGGTGTATCATATGTATATATATTACACATGACATTCCTGTGTGCCCACTAAAGAATAAACAGAAGAGATAATCAATTCTAAGTCCTAAACCACAGAGAGCAAGAGGAACAAAGGGCAATGTATTCAAAGAAGACTGCCTGAGAAGACCTTGAAAGATTAGGAAAAGGCAGTAAGGCAAAAGGTCACTTCTGGAGGCGAGCTTGGAGCGGCTGAAGAGTGGATTGTCCCTCCAGTGCAAGGAGCAGGCTGCTTAACGTATTGGAAAATACGAGTGGACAGGCAGGAAGGAGTTATGTAAGATCTCTAAAATCAGGGGAAGTGTGTGGACCTGATAGAGTAAAAAAAGTTGTGAAAGTGTTACTACATTAGCTGAACATTTCATCAGAAAGAAACTCTGGCTTTAGTATTTACTTACCCAAATCTCAAATTTCACCTTGTCAACTCTCCTAATTTCATTTTAAATATTCTGTTTCTACCTCTGTTATCTACCTCCAAGAAATGATCTAGTGGAGTCTTAATTTCAGGGAAGTCGAGGTATAAAAATCACTGCTTAAAAATCACAGGCCTAAACAAACTATACTGTAAGATTTGTTCACAAAGCATGTAGCTAATAAGCATTACATCTTGTCACATTTCATAGTTTAACCTTAATGAATCAACATCCTACTGAATGAGCTGTCCCTGACACAGTATGCATTTCCTCATGAAAAAGATTTCCTCGAGCTGAAGTCCTGAAATTGTTTTCTTTTGGTAATAAAATTGAATGAGCAAGCATCCAACTATTCTGCTGAGCGTCACAGATACCCATAGTTGCCAACTTCGCTGTAATAAACCTCCCGAATACCCAGTCGCACTTGTTCTATGAAACCCCGAGGGAAACGTCTCTCTCGATCATCCCTGTCCAAGCACTGTCCCCGATTTCTTGGCACTTTACACAGGCATCTACCTGAGTCTCAGCTGTCTCCAAGGATTTGTACTTTCAGGCGAAACAATCTTACCCAAAGAACCTGTAAGTCTACAAAAATCTTTCCCAAGACACCTGGCAAAGGACCAAGGCTCTGAGCCCATCTCAGTGTGACCTTTACGGCAAGCCCACCGTCCCAGTGCAGAGGGGCACGGAGGGATCCACAACCGCGGTGCCTGGCTGCGGCCAAGTGACCCCAGATCGCGGCGCACCCACCTGACCAAGGGCTCCTTCTCGGGCAGCGAGGGCTCCTCCAGGCACCGGCAGTGGCAGAAGCAGCAGGCGGTCCGCAGCCAGGCCCTCAGCCCCATGGAGAGCGCGGGTCCCCGTGGGCGCGGGAGTCTGAGCGCGCGATCGCGCCTGGGACGCGGCCACCCCGGCGTCCAGGTGCGGGGACAGTTGCGGCCACTGCGGGTCGGGCCAGTCCGTGCGCATCACGCCGAGGCCAGGGAGGCGGACCAGGCGGAGGCGCTCCACGGCCCAGAGGTGCAGGCCGCGCGCCTCCCCGCCACTCAGATTTTGTTTGGAGCGTGTGTTTGTGGGGAGCTTCTTTTCTCCCTTTCTTTTAATTCCCCGGGGCGCAGACAGGAGCGCATGCGCCCCAAGACGCTCCGCTGCTGCCCTCTAAGGAGAAAACTGGGACTCCAGGCGCAGCGCGAAATCCGAGGTCAGCCCCTGGCGGCCGCGGGGTCTGGAGGTGGGCGGCGAGGGGAAGCCCGGAGCCCGGAGCACGAGGCCGGCTGAATCTGTGCATACTTTTTATTGGCTTCACCGCAGGAGGAAGTAGACGATCTTCTTCGCCACCCACTCATCCTTCCGCCTTCAAAGCAGAGTTTAGACATATTTTTGACCTGCCAGCTCCACGCTGAGTACAAATTAGGACAAGATTATGGATTGATGCATCACAGACAGCATGTCTTTTGAGGTAAAATGTACATAATATAGGATTCGAAAAGAAAAATATTTTTCAAACAGCCAGTCCTGAAATAGCCACCTCAAAATGGCAACAATGTGTGAGTTTCCAGAGCTGTTTGTGCTATGTGCATGTATTGATGGGGTTAGGCATAAGGGCGTTTTCTACGCTGGTACGCATTGTACATACAGTATATTTAACACATAGCTTCCTCCTTTTTTACCCAGACCGCAGCACGCTCTACACGTTTCTGCCTCTGGCTTGTTTTGTTCACTAAATCCTGGGAACCACAGGATCAGTGCACATTTCTACACTTTTAACAGCCCCATACTATGAGTTCTTATGGATACCCAAGTATTATTTAATCAGACCCTTACTGATGGGCATTCAAATTATTTCCAGCCTTTTGTTATTAAGGTAAGGATTTAGGAAATATTCTTGAACCAGTGTAGGTAGGCACATCTGTAAGAGTATCTATTGAATAAATGTTTGGACATTGATGTGCAGAGTAAAAGGCCCTTTTAATATTGATTAATCTTCTCAAATTGCTCTCCAATTAATAATCCCAATGTACACTCTGAAATACAAAAACGTTGCCCTAAACTCCACCCATTAATGCAAAGTGCAACTTAGTATTTTGCCTTTGCCAATTTGATTTAGCCAAAAAATGTTTATTGAGTATCTGTTATGTCCCAGGCATATTTTGAAGGCAGGAATATAACAATAAAGGAAACAAACAACCATTGCTCTGAAGAAGTAAACATTCTAGAAGGGGAGGTAGATAAATAAGTAAATTATTTAGTATTCAGAAAATGACATATACTATGGAAAAAACTAAGACAAGAGCGATAAAAATGCCAAGGAGGGCATGTGCACATGCATGTGTGTTGAAGAGGGAGTACACAGTTTTAAATGAGGTGGTCAGAGAAGGCCTCTCTGAGCCTGGACATTTCAGCAAAGACTTGATGATGAGCGCACTACTCATGACTCAAAAAAAAGTACCTTTAGGCAGAGTGAAGGCAATGGGTTACAATCGAGAGGAGACAGAATAAACTACAAGGTTTCTGAGAAAGAATATAGATCCAGAGACCCTGGAGACACGGGGTTTCAGAGATACTAGCAGGAGATGGTGGAAGAGGGGATCTTGTAGGGCATCAAAAAGACTGGAGTTTGCTCCTTGTCAGCTGCTCAAACCTTTGGAGGTTTTCGAATGAGTGACATGGACTGACTTAGAAATAGGTTCCTTTTCCTGCTGTCTTAAGAAGAAACTGGGTGCCAAGATGTGTAGTAGGCAGGTGCCAATGCAGGCTGTGCTAATAATCTCAATGACACACAGAGTGGCTTACAACACAATCATTACAGTTGCCCCAGTAAGCAATGGTTGAACTCTGGATGAAATCTGAACATCAAGCTAACAAGATTTGCTAAAAGATTGCAAGTAAAGTGTGCAAAAATAATACGAGTGACTTTAAGGTTTGGAGTTTATAAACTGTGAAGGCTACAGTTGACTGAAAAGGAGTGTGGGAGGAGCAGGTTTGAAGGAGTGAGGCAGAAAGATGAGAGTTTATTTTTAGAAGCCTCCGAGCTAATGGGAGACTTGTTATTTTTAAAAGTTACTACACCATAGGTCTGTCTTACTCTGATAACTGTATGAAGCTAAGGGACTTACCAAGTGCATTTTCATTTACAAGCCGCTAAAGGACAAGAAAAAATAATATCAGAGCTCTTTGGTCTCTTACTTAGAGAGACAGGATCTTGATCCCATCACTAAATATTAACAAGAAAGGATACCAGCTGTCACCAGACAGCGGACTGTGGTACCAAATCCAAAACCGTCTCTTACCCCTCAGAACTGGTGCTGGATTGGAAGCTGAGTGTTGTCAAAAGCAAACTTCCTAGTGGCCAGAAAATCCCTTAATAGAAACAACTATGTTCTGAAATTAGATTTTGAGTGACACTACTTAGTTCAAGTAGACAGTGGGTGAAAGATGCTGCCAAACTGTGAGCTCAGCTAGGAAAAAGATGAAATCTAAGGTCTGACAACTACTGTTAACGTCTAGAGTTAGATCTGTTGAGAATGGAGAAATTAGAAAAGCATTCAGCTCCTGGGAAATACGATGCTTTTCCTCTTTACTAACTTTGCTTCAGAGATGTCAGTTTTTCTGAAATGGAGCTTTCTAATCTGGAAGTGGAAAGGACAGATTTGTTCCTTCCAGACACAGTTCTGAGACTCAAATGAAATCATTTAAAAACCACAAAGCCTCAGAAATATCAGAACCCAACAATATTTATCAAATCCAAATAATATAGGCCTGCTGGGGGAGTCTGTGCTTAGCTTGCATAGGACAGCATTTCCTCCCACACTTGCACCTTTGTAACCTGTGGGCATCTTCTATGTGTTCTGTTTTAACAAGATATTTACAGAAAGCCACAGAACCATGTCTGTTTAATAAAACTGATCCAGCCAGATAAGGTGCATGCCTATAATCCCAGCACTTGGCAGAGTGAGGCAGGAGGATCACCTGCAGTTCAAAGCCCGTCTGGACTGCAGAGCAAGACCTTGTCTCAAAAACAACAGCAATGTAAGAGAGAAAGAGAGGAAGAAAGCAAAACAGCAAGAAAGAGAGAAAGAAAGAAAATCTGATTCAGAGATTAATGCCTAAGGATCCTGTGTAGTGTATCTTACATTAACAATTACTGTTTCTTTCTACATTAGTTTGAGTTTAAGATGAATTTTATAGGTGAGATATTGCTGGGGTTATAGCTCAGTGGTACAGCACCTGCCTGGCAAGCACAAGGTCCTAAGTTTGGTTCTTGGTACAAAAAAAATCTATAAATGAAATCCTTCCCTTCCCCCCCCCAAAAAAACCTGAAATACTACAGGTCAAGTTCTCTTTGATCCCTCTGTACAGTCCTGATTTATTTTCTACGCTCCCAGGATAATCATTTGCTCCAGGTTGGTACAAACCTTTTTCGGGACATGTATACATATATGGCCCTGTGATATAGCATCTCTGCATGGGTTATTATTACTAGCGAGTTTTTTTAATAAAAATTATTCAAGCTTATTCCACTTAATAATGTATTACTGAACAAATTCTTGTTAGTACACATAATACCATCTCATTCTTTTCAACTGATGTAAGTATTATACTATTAATTTTCAAAGGACTGTCTTATCAGAGTTTTTCATATTGTTGTTCTTCCCAGTTGTTGAATCCCTTCCTTATCTTCCTGTTTTTATAAAGCCCGCCTTTGATAAGGATACCAGATCCTCTAGCTTCAGTTTCCTAGGTAGCTGAGATCATATTTTAGCTCCCCTATTTTCTATTTCACAGGAAAGCAGTGAACTTCTCCATTTTTAGAATGGTACTGGAATGCTTCTGCTGCCTCAGTTGACACCAGCACCAGCAACCGCACACAGCAGCATCTGACATTTTTCAGAAGCCCCTGGGTACTTGATGTCAGGTGAGGCGGCAGTCCTCTGGGGCAACTGGTGACTCATTGACTCCTCAACTGCTTGTTTTCAAGACAGAACTAGGAAATAGATTGACCTCTATTTTTAGATTTCTCCAGGCCAAGAAAAACTACAGTCTTACTTTGAAAATAACTAGTGTACCTTGGAACACCACCACTGCTGAGAGCTGTTGAAGCTGGAAATTGACCACACATGCAAGACTGAAGCATGCCCGTCCCAAGAACAAAGACAAGCCATGTGAAGAAGCTGCTTCAGGCCAGAGAACACCTAACCTCAAGACAATCCTGAACAGTGGTTTGCTAGGACGGGTTGTCATACGACATTAAGTTCCTAAAAGGTATAAATACATGCCCCTATAGTGATGGGGACATTTCTTTTCCTCCCATTACAAGCTGGTGTCACATAATTACTCGCTCAACAATTATATATTGAGACAGGTACTGGGGATAGAACAGAATGTGGGTCCCATTCATGAAAGCAGAGACTTTGTCTTCTTTGCAGTGTCCCCAGCACCCATAGTAAAGACTCAATAAACAGAAAGACATGCTGTACAGTGACACCTAAAACACATAAGAAATGGGTTTTCTTTTCTTTCTTTCTTTTTTTTTTTGGGGGGGGGGTTGTGTGTGTGTGTGTGTGTGTGTGTGTGTGTGTGTGTGTGTGTGTGGTACCGGGATCGAACTCATGCCAGGCAGGTGTTTACACCACTGAGCTAAATCCCTAGCCCAGAAATGAGTTTGATAAGTATAAGAAACAAAAAAGAGCTATTTAGTGTTTGTTTAGAAATTATGTTAAATTTCTTTAGGATCTGTCCAAGTCCAGTAGAGAAAAGCTAAAAAATACTGTTTTCCTCAAAGAAAACAAAGATCTGAACCAACTTCCGCACTGTCACTCACCGCAAGCCACCCACAATGGAGAATCAACATGCCTCATAGCTGTAGAGTCACACTGGAGAGTGGCATGATGATGTCCCCAAAGCAGAAGCCACCCAAGGTCCTCATAGGATCTCTTATTTCTGTTTCTACAATGTCTCTCACTCCTCCTTCTGGCAGCATTTTTGTTTCCCTTTGAAGAACACCCCCCAAAGCCATGAGTTGAGCCTAACAAGGAAGATAATCACATCCATCACCCCCAGCCTGCCTCTAAGGGTCAGACACTGACCAATAGGGCCAATTAAACACTCTGTCCACCATTTTGCATCTTGATGACAAGGATCTAAAGATAAAAAACGATTGCAATTGACACATGAGTTATTTTGGGGATGAGTTATTTTGAGCACCTTGATGAAGTCACTGCCTGGAGCTTTCCTGCTCCCATGTCTCCCAAGGTCAAGAGGTTCTAGTTCTCTAGTTCTCCCTCATTCTGTGGGTTACAGGATTACTGTGAGTCACTTACCTTTTTTCTTTTTTCTTTAAGTTAACCACAGTCGGTTTCTGTTGCTTTCAGAATGTACCTCTCACAGCTCCACTGAAGTAAACAGGCAGGAAGAGAATCGTTGTGACTGGTAGGAAGCTAGTCATGAAAAAGCTGCACTTGCTTCTGGGCCACAAACAATACCGCACCATTAGATTTATCCAGGTGAGACTTTTATTTCCTTTTCTGCTTGACTTCTCCACTCTGAAGAGAAACAGACAATATCTGCCGTCTCAACATCCATCACTCTGTGGTTTCCACGATGCAAAATAGCTTCTACATTTTCACACCATTTTTATTCAGTGCTGCCTGCTGGTGACTTTCACTCCCCTACTCCTCTCAAATATATACTCTAAGAAAAACAATAATCATAGTTTTTGCTCATTCTTCAGTTTGTTTTTTTTTTTATTTAAGGAGAAAAGAAAAGAAAGAAAAAAAAACAGTGAAGGGGTACAAGTTATACAGATTTACAGAAGAAAAAAATGCGCAGTAGGAAATCACTAGTTAATGGATTACATATTGCCATCTTAGAAATAATTGTTCCAGTCACAAAATTAAAGCTTGTAGAGTGGGCATTCCAACAATGATACTGCAAACAGTTCTGTTCAATGATCCAATAAAACTCTGTGATATCATTTTCTATCTTATACATTTAAATATACATGCAGTTATATAGTTTAGAGCACTTTCTTTTCCTCTCTTTTGTACAGTGACTATTACACATTTTGGGTTTCATTGCTCCCACGGTTCTTATTGCTTTTTTGGAAGAGAGTAAAACCAAATGTGACATAACAGAACAGAATCGGTCAAGTCAAAAGGGTGGACATAATAGATAATATAAAAACATAATACAAGGTGATCAACAATGGTTACCATAATGCCTCCCGCTATTTCTAATAGAATTGCCTATATCATTAGTTGTAATACAATTGAACAAAACCGTAAAGAATAAAACCGACAAAACCAAAACATTGGAGATATTGTAGGTCTTCAAAAGTAGATAAAAGTCAACGAGAATGGGCGTTATAATGAATCTCATTATCTTCTCAGCTGATGCCTAAACTTTCGAACCTGATACTATCCAGCAAAACAGAATAGAGGAACCTCAGTCAAAAACAAGATGGTGAGAGTAACACAGGGCTTCAAATCGAGATAATAGAAAGTCAAAGTGGGTTACTATATTATATCCTGCTATATTTTTCCCTTTAATTAAATGGATAAAAATAAAAAAGTAAATAATGGAGTGGAGATTGAGAAAAAAGAGGGCATAACAGCAAAACAGGGCAGATCAAAACATAACCATTTAAGCAGAATAGTGTTTCACCACCAGATAATCCTGACCCAAAAATAGTTACCATATTGACTCCCTCCCTGAAGTCCTTGAGTACAACTTCATATACTGTAGCATTAAGTATATCAAAACAATGTAAAACCATTTAAGAGAATGACAGCATTATAGAGTATTTAGAATCGACTAACAGAAAATGAACAATGGTCTCTGTATAATCTCCTTGTCTTTAAAAGGTTTTTGCTTATACTATCAGACATAACAAAATCCAATAAGATACAACCTATTTAGACCATTAGAGACAGAAGAACAAAAGCTAGATGAGACTTCAAAACAAGATGGTACTAAATCAGCATTACCTATTAAGATGTCATTTTCTCCAAAAAAAGCTGTTCTTATCATCCAATCTTCTCTGTCTCATTTCTGTTGAGCTCTTTTTCTGTCAGTAGCTGTCAGTTTGTCTTCTTCATTTTGTTCTCTGCTCCATTCGTTGTGGCCTCCCCGCCACTATTTCTGGGTTCTTTGTATTTTTCTTTTTTTAGAATATCCTGCAATACTTTCTGTAGGGTTGAATTGGTGGTTGCAAATTCCCCCAGTTCCTCTTTATCCTGGAAGCACCTCGTTTTTCCATCAATTTCCAGGGACAGTTGTGCAGGATATCTCAATCTTGGCTGGAGATTATTATCTTTCAAAGCTTGAATTATTTCTCCCCACGCTCTTCGTGATTTGATGGTTTGTGAAGAGAAATCTGCTGTAATTCTGATGGGTATTCCCTTGTAAGTGATCTGTTTCTTGTCTCTTACAGCTTTTAATATTCTGTTCTTGTATTGAATTTCTGGAATTTTTATTATTATATGCCTGGGTGTTTCTCTGTTAGGGTTGTAGGTAGCTGGGGTCCTGTATGCCTCATACATCTGAGTATCTTTACCTTTTGCTAAATTAGGAAAATTCTCCTGGATTATTTCTGTGAGTAGCTTTTGTAGTTCACTTGTTTGTGTCCCTACTCCTTCTTTTATGTTCTTAATCCTTAAGTTATGGCTCCTCTTATCATCTTCTTGTCTTTGTATTATTGCTGTGTGTTTCTTTGTTATTTTTAAGAAGTTTTTCATTTCATTCTCCCATGTTTCAAGTCTGCCCTCCAATTCAGATAGTCTGTCCTTAGTTTCTTTCAAGCTGTTATGCCAGTCTTGGATAGACTTCTTAATTTCTTGATAGTCCCTTTGAACCTGCTTCACATACTCAATGCTTTCTCTGTTTTCTCCATCAAGCAATTCTCCCCTCTTTTTCTGTTCTTCCATTCCACCATCTGCTTTTTCCTGGGTGGTGCTTAGCATTTCTCTAACTATTCTGCATACTTCTAGCTTCAGGTCATTGATAACTTCATTCCTGAATTGGTCTATGAGGCTCTCTATATGGCGCTTAATGTATATTGGTGCGGTGTCCACTATTGCCTGATTCTCAGGATTGGGGGCCGAGGAGCCTTTTTTGTTGCTTCCCTTCCCTATATTTTCTGTTCCTTATAAAATGCAATCTTACATAGGAGGCCTGGCTTCTCTGCCTGTCAGCCACAGCCTGATCAAATTGCGCTGGCTAGTTGTTCCCGCCCACCGCTGCGCACCAGGGAGTTGCGGAGGAGGCAGCCTACGCAGGAGTCGGTCGCTCCTCCGGGCCACCGTCAGGCTCTGGGATCTGGGTTAGGCCAGCCTAGGGAGTCCGCCAGCAGCGTCACTCAGGCCAGGCACTTTTCACCAATCCCGTCCGAGAGGGGAATGTGTGGCTGGAGTTGCCACCGCGCCCTGCTCTTACAGGACTGCCCGAGCCCAGAAAAACCTCCGCTGGAGTCAAACTGTGGTAGGGAGTCAGTTTCTCGCTCACCTCGCCACCAGTCAGTTTTCCTCCTTGTCCATCCTGTTTCCGACTCCGTTCGCAGACTCCCGTTCCCAGAGCTCGGCGCGTCTCTCCTTGCCGAGCCGCTGTGGAGGCAGCCAGCCGCCGGGCGGCGGGAAACCCAAATCGCGGTTTCCAATGGCGCGGGGTCGAGCCTCCACACCGAGACTTTTCTGTTCCTATTTTAGCGCCAGGACTGTATTCTAAGTTGGATTCTCTCAGCCCAGTTCGTTCCTGAGTCAGCAGAGCATATCTCTACTGGTTCGTATCTCCTTAGTCCGCATCATTCCTGGCCTCTGAGCCGAGCCTTTCAGAGAGCCTTCAGTAGTGGCTGTTGTCTGTCCGCCATGTTCTCCCTCTCCCAAAAACAATTTTTAAAGGTCCAAATAGATGATAGGAGTGTATGTTGTCATGATAAAAATATGTTAATTATAAATAAGATTTTATCTTTTTCAAATTCTTTGATAAGAGATCTCTGCTAATTGGTCTACAACAAATATGACCCGTCTTATTTAAAATTTAAAATTCTACAATTGTGAAAAAATTAGTATAATTCAATTTGGCTAACATATATTTGAGTGCACTTTGTTTGTGTAAGAAGTTTGTCAGTCTGCCTGTGACTCAGTCTGTCTGTTTTTCCAGTCTGTGAAGCTGTTGCTGGAAGTCACTGAGCTAATGATCGCTCACACTTATGGAGCCAATAGCACAAGTGCCCATATAGGAATGCCCGAGAGGCAAGAAGTGCCTGAGAAATGCCCTGAGGGTATGGGGTGCTAGAGTGACAGATGTTTCAACCCCAAGGACATGGGGTATAAGAAGCAAGGTAGTTCAACAGAGAAGAAAGAAATAGCCCCCAGCAATTTAGAAGGTTCTATGTTTGTTTCTATTGTCTGTTTGAATCTGTACAGATCATCTGTCCTTGTTTGTCCATTTGTCCATTCTCTAAACAGCTGTTTTTTTTTATTCAACAATTTTCTGTTTTTCTTTACATTTTTGGATCATTTAATCAGGTTAATTTGGATAATAGACTTAAAAAGCATGCTTCCACCCATGTTCCCAGTTAGTCAAAATGATGCTAAAATTAGTTGTATAAATGTAATATGTATTGTTGTTTATTATTGAGTTGAGAGTCTCTCATTGTTTAAAAATTATATTAAAATAAAATCAAAATTAGTCATCAAAAATTATATTAAAATAATTAAAATTCCCTTGGGGTTGGGATTATTGGACAGGATTTCAATTGATGAATAAGAAAGTGACCACCTAGTAACATTTTACCAGCTCTTGTTCATTAATTGGAGGCCCCAATGATTTCCATAGCCTTATAGGAGACACCCCAACTAAAGTTATATAAATATTATTGTAATATGTTCACATTGGACATCATCAAAAGAAATAATACAGTAAGGATTTTGATTTTCAAATGCCCATACAAAGGTTTTCATATGTTATGACAAATGATTGTTGTTAACCTCACAGTGTATTCATGTATATTCATGTATCCAGATATACAAGTTTTCCAAAATGTAAAACAGGGATTGTTGATGGTAACAAATTTTGGTTCATATTCAGACCTCTGCCTGTAACAAAAACTTAAGAGATGTACATCACACTGAAGGTCAACAAGTTAAGTAAAGTTTTTATATATTAGATAGGGGTGATTGACCAGAAAGGAGATATCTTTTTCTTTCTTTTTTTTTTTTTTTTTTTTTTTTTTTTTTTTTTTTGGTACCAGGAATTGAACTCACGACCTTGTGCTTGCCAGGCAGGCACTTATGCCACTGAGCTAAACCCTCAGCCCAAAAGGGGCTATCTTATGTTTTTATAAAAAATGCAAAGTTCAAGTGTGTTACAAAATGTCATCATGGTTTTTATGCTAAAATGTTGTATATTGTCTTGATTTTTAATTTTCTATGTAAAATATGTAACTGTTTGTTAATATCCTACAGGTATTCAAATGTTAAAACATCCATGGTTATTAAACAATAATGGTTCTACTTTAGGTTGTAAGATGTTTGATATTTAGATAAGATGATAATGCCTCTACTACATTGTACTGTTATCAGTCTTTTCTTCTGAATGTTCAACAACTGAGGTTTAGAGACCAACAATGAGAGAGACAGATGGGCTAAGTGGATAGCCAATATTTTGGCCCCAGCCCTCCAAGGTCAATGAGGACCCAGGGCATTAGAGAACATCTGATGCATCATTCTATATTGAGCGATTGATTGATTGATATATTGAGTCCCTGGTCTTCTGATCAAGAAGTCTGTAAGACAAACTGAGGACAATAATCATCGGTGTGTAGTGTGCCTAAGGAGAGTCAGCAGGAGCAAAAGTCTCCCAGGCTTTCACAGAAAGCAACTTGGTCAGGCAATGACCGTGATTCATCTGAACAGCTAACACTGATGGAAAGAGGTGCTATCGTTGGTTCCAAGGTATTCCTGAGGAGACTTAACTAAGCTTGATAGATATCAAAAACTGATTGTTTTTAAACAGGTCTCACCTTAACTTGGTCTTGAACATCCAGCAGAAAATGTATAACTACTAAAGGTATATAAAACAATGCTAAAATAATGTTACAAAAGAAACCCAAATCACTAATACCTTTGGACAATTGCCAGCTACATGGGTAGCTGACTACTGTTACAGGTTAATGGACTGCACAGGGTTTCAAATGCAGAATGCAGGGCCTTAAAATGCACTTAAAATAAGATCTTCTATAGAGTTCAACACAGCTCCTCTAGCTTCAACAGACCATCCTGTGCAACAACAAAACAAAAAGAGATGGATATGTTGGGAGCTGTGGAAGCTGGAAATTGACCTAGGGCATGAACCAGAGGTAACCCTACCAGAAAACAAAGAGTGCTAGTGAAGAAGTTGCTACAGCCCAGAAAAACACCAAGCTCCTAAACAATCCAAACAATGGGTTGCTAGACAAAGGGGCTGAAATTGACATATCTTTCCCAGTATATAAACATGCTGCATTTGGTTGAGCAGTACCTTTCTTCCCATCAGGAGAATAAGGGTTCCACCTCACCCCAGCTTTATCTCTTCTTTCTTTTTCTCATCATCTTGTGGTCCTT